TAGAAAGATTTTTTGCTATAGGGTGCGTGTGATCGCTAGAGAGACAGAAAGTGAGAAATCACTTCCCGGGGGAGATGGTGCACATGCATGCACCCAGCATGCATTTTTTGAGCCGCTGGGTCCAGGACTCAAACTGCATCAAGTACATGAGAATCCAGTGAGGTAACTTACGCCATCTGCTGGTCCTGTTAGTATTTATATATACACACACATACACACACACACATACATATATATATGGAGTTGCTTATATTATTGCCTTCTTTAATGTCTAAGAGCTCTATAGTGATATCCCTGCTTTCATTTCTGATATTGATAATGTGTATTTGTCCTTTTAAAAATCGTTAATGTATATTTTTTTGTATGTTATAAAGACAGAGGGTACATTGGTACAGTTTTTGCTGTAGACAGTTGCCTTTTGTTACAGTTGAAAACTTTAAAATGTCTAATAGTTCCTCAGTACAGGCAGCAGGATTGAATCTAAGATTCCCCGTGGATACCAAAGATCTCTTACATAAAAAAGTATGGGTAGTGTAGTATTTGCATGTAACCGACAAACATCCTCCTATATACTTTTAAGCATCTCTGTGTTACTGATAATGCCTAATACAATGTAATACTATGTGAGTAGTTGTTATACTATATTATTTAATGAATAATGACAAGAAAAAATCTATACATGTTCAGTACAGATGCATTCAAAGACTTTAATTACATAGTGCACGTCACTAACCACACAGCATTTTTTTATGTTTTCTTGAATTTTTAAATTTCTTCCATGAGAAAGGTGCGCGCGCACACACACACACACACACACACACACTCACACTCACTTAACAGGGTCTTCACACCATGACCCATTTCTAGTCTTAGCTACTCTGCATCATGGGAATATGCATGTGTCCAAGTTCTGAGACAAGACCTGGAACTTTTCCCCTCTGGGTTCAGTTCTATTGCTGCTGTGCCACAGCCTATTCCCAGTAACATACAAGTTTTGCTCTGTGGTTAGTTGTTATCTATGGATGCAGAACCCATGAGTACAGAGGGCTGACGGTAATTTTATATTCACCCTCTTTAAAAGCACTTCCAGTGCTCTTTGTTTCTTTATGTAGCTCTTTTTCTGTCTGTCGTGTTCCTTTTGTTTAAATAAATTCTTTTGATATATTTCTTGTATCTCCTGTGACAAGTTTCCTGGTAATTAATTCTTTCTAAGCCTTTCTATTTAAAAAGCCTTTCTTCTTTCTTTTTTTTAAACCAGAGTTCAGGCTGAGGGGGAACTTCTTTCTTCATACTTCTTTTTTACCAGAGGAAGCTTTCCAGAGACAGACAGAGAAAGAGAGAGAGAGAGAAGGCACCCGCCAATGGGATATGGTCACACTACTGTTTCTTCTCCGTTTCGCCATTCTGTTGGGTTTTTGGCCACATACTTCTGTACGCCTAGCCTGTTTCATAGGCTGCTGGGGTCTGGAATCAGACTGTGCGGTTGACCACTTGATCTCCTTGATCTCCTCCCTTAATCACCAGGCCACAGGGCCAGCCCTGATTTTCATTTTTGAAAGAGATTTTTTGGTGGGTACACAATTCTGGGTTGATAGTTTTTATTTCTTTTTTTTCCAACAATTTAAGAATTTTGTTGTCTCTAAGCTTGAGTATTTTCTGAAAGATTTTAACTGTAAATCTTAACCTTTGTTTCTGTATGTATAGTATGTAATTTTGTTTTGTCGCCATCAGTATTTTATTTTAATTTTTATTTGTTAGCAGTTTGAATATAATGTAAGTCTGGTTTGTTCATTTGCTTTTTATATATTTATCTATTTGTGTATTTAGTAATTTTTGCATTTATCCTAATAGGTGGTTTCTGAGCTGTCCTCTATTCTGAGTTTCCAACTTCCCATGTGTTAAGAACTTGATGTTTAAATGCTGTTTTTAGATCCCCTGTTTTGGTTTCCAACCCCCACCTTACTTTTTTATTCTGTTTGTGTTTGAATTCAGGTAATTTTGAACTGTTGACCTATATTGAATTTTACTAACTCATTTTTCAGTTGTGTTCATTCTGGTCATACATGTCCCCCTTTTCTACCAAAGCATTTACCATATTAATAATAGTAATTTAAATTTTTCTCTCTTGTAGTTCTAACATCTGAGTCATATCTGAGTTTGGTTCTACTGATTTGTCTCCTGACAGTGCATTTTCCCTTGATTTCCTAATTTTTTTTATTAAAAGCCAGACATTATGTGTGAAGTATATAGTATGTATATCTGGAATTGGGCATACCATTTCTTTGTTTTCTTTTACTTTTAACCGCCAGAGGATATATATGTTCACCAGAAAGAGAGTGAGAGAAAATGAACCCCACAGAGGGGTGTGGTCACTCCACAACACTTTTTGCTCCATTTCTCTGACGATTTTGGACATGCATGTACACTCATCCATCTTTTTTTTTTTTTTTTAGCCACTAGGCTCAAACTGCAATTGGCCACATGGGATCTGGCTCCCTGATGCACTGTGCTTAACGGTGCATTGGGCTGGCTTTGGGCATATGTTTCCTTGTTAGACTGTTAATATTGAGTTTGGGTCCATCTAGTATAGATTTGACCTGGATTTTGTTGTTTTCACTGCATTGGCCACCCTCAATATTCCACCAGGTTCAGTTCCTTCAGTATTTCCTCTTGCTTACAGTGCATGTTATATTGATGAATATTTTTTCTCAAATGTCTTTGATCCACATTCAGATTTTCATTTTCCCTGTAAGACTGAGCCTCCAAGAGTATGTCTCTACACTCATGCATTTGATCAGCAGTATTACTGCTGCTTATTATTTGATCTTTGCTGTCTTAGTGATTTGACCTTTTACTAATCAAGTTAGAATAAAATGTCTGATACTTTCTTTTTTTTTTAGGGGGGGAGAGGTTTTTCCTATAGGAAAAACCACATGCGCTCGCCAGAGAGA